CCACCGCTGATTCGGACCACGTAACCCTTCCACTCTTCACCCAGGGAGTCAGCGGCCACCTCTGTGGCCATGCGCTTCTCATAGAACGTGCGAAGCTTGCGTTCATCATCGACCTCGATGAGTTTCTGGCAGCCAGTGGCTGGGAAGGAGATGTTCAGCTTCATGACGAAGCTACCGCTCGCCTCCCAGGAGCCACAAAAAAGAGCTGTCCTATAGGTTTTGACATGTGCTTCCATTATCATTTAATTCTAGAAACATTTAAAATTTCTTCCCTGATTTCTTTGTGGTCCAGTGATTATTCATTAATGTATTATCGCATATAGCTTTTGATATGAGTGTGTGTGCATGTGCATTTGTGTGTGTGTGTGTGTGTGTGTGTGTTCTGAGACACAATCTTGCAGTACAGTTCAGGCTGACCTTAAAGCCATGATCTTCCAGACTCAGCCTCCTGAGTAGCAGGATTATAGGTGTGCACTGCCGCCTCCTAGGTAGTAGGATTATATGCTGGTGATTTCTAGCTTCATTCCACTATGATCTGATAGCATGTGGAGGATTATTTTCATTCTTTTTTTAATTTATTCATTTATTTATGCATGCTTTTTAGCCTAAGATGTGGTCTATTTGGGGGAAAATTTCATGTGCTGTTAAGGAAAAAATGTGTATTTTGTTGTTTTTTGTATGAAATTCTAGATATCTGTTAAATCCTTTTTCCAGTGGGGTAGTTTAACTCCGATGTTTCTTTGACATCTTTTTGCCCCATTGACCTGTCTAATCATGAGAGTGAGGAATTAAAACCCTTCACTACGGAGCCGGAGAGACAGCTGAGTGACATAAACACCTGCCTGGCAAGTGCAAGGTCCCAAGTTTCATCCCTCATACTGAAAAACAAAACAGCCTCACTATGACTGTACGTTTGTCCTTTTAATACACTTTTTTTGTCCTTTTAAGGACAGTGGTTTTTGATTTATGATTTTGGATACACAGATATTCAGTGTATTGACATTTGCAAAGCTTATGTTTTCCTGTTGAGTTCTGCCTTTACCAGTATGTGGTGTATGTCTTTGTCTCTTCTGATCAATTTTGGCTTGAAGGCTTCTTGAAGTCTGCAAATATGACAGCTTCTCTCTCTCTCTCTCTCTCTCTCTCTCTCTCTCTCTCTCTCTCTCCCCCCCCCCACATCCCTCCCCCTTTGTGGTACCGGGGATTGAACTCAGGACCCTCTGCTTGCCAGGCAAGCGCTTATTCTACTGTGCTATCTCCCTGGCCCATAAAGTGTTCATTGAATCCGGTTATATCATTATTTTTCTAGTGCCGAGTCTTTATTTTTTCCTTTTGTTTAACTGCTAACCTAGTTATATGTATCTTTTCCTTTGGGCTTCTGTGTGTGTGTGTGTGTGTGTGTGTGTGTGTGTGTGTACTGGTGGCATCGTTGTCTCTTTCTAAAATTTCCTTATTTTTTTTCTGCAGTGCGATTTAGTGGTCATAAATTTCTTTGTAATGGGAAGTCAGTATTTCTCCATCAGATTTGAAGGCTAATTTTGCAGGATATAAAGTCTGGTTTGACAGTTGTTTTCCTTTGGGGCTTAAAAAGCTTTGCTGCAATCTCTTCTGGCCTTTAAGGTTTGTGCTGAAAATTTGTAGTTGCTCTTATGGGCTTGCCTTTTTAGGTTACAGCTTTTAGCAGTTTCTCCTTTTGTCAAATTTCTGGGATTTTCATTATGATGTGTCATGGAGAGTCTTTTTTTTTCCCCCATTCATGGCTATTTGGCATTCTAGATGTGTCTTATATATGAATACTGAAATTTTTCTCTACATTTGGAAAGTTTTCCACTAGGATTTTGGTGAATAAATTTTTAATACTTCTAACTCATCTTCTAATTTTTCCTATAATTTCAAGGAGTTTTGTTTGTTTGTTTTGTTTTTCACACAGGTCTCACTATGCAGTTTAGGCTGGTCTTGAACTCAGTATGTATATGTCCTAGTTACTTTTGTCTCAGCTGAGACAAAATACCCAACACCTAAAGTTAAGGAAGAAAATGTTCATATATCTCACGGTTTGTAGAGGTTTCAGTGCATACTCGGCTGGCCCGAAGTCAGGGTGGCTCTGCGGAGGTGGACCAATTCCTGGCAGAGAAAGACAGCAAAAGCAGTAAGAGCAAAAGGGACCTGAACAGCAGCTTTCTGCGCCTTTTATATTGCATCTTGGCTACCGGGATTAAGGCAGTGCCAAGTCAGTGGACTGATTAGTAATCACACTGCCTTAACCCCAGCATCACACACTCTAGGTCCAGCTACCTCTGAAAAAGTCCCCTATAACTGCATAAAGTGGGAGGGGACATCTAGACATAAGCAGTGACAGCAGCCCAAGCTGACAGTGAACTTGCAGCAATCCTCCTGCCTCAGCTTCCTAAGTGGTAGGATTACAGGTTCTGCCATCATGTCTGGCTTGTTTTGTTTTGCTCTGAGTCATCTAGCAGCTGTTGGACGCATTGTTAGGGGATTGTTTAGTTTATGGTTTACTACATCCACCTTCTCTTCTATTTGAGGACTCTGTCCTCACATTGGTCAAGTCTGTTCCCCATGCTTTCCACTGAATTTCTCGTATTGTCCATTTCTGCTTGCTTTTTTTTTTTTTGTGGTGCCAGGGATTGAACTCAGGACCTTGCGCTTGCCAGGCAAGCACTTATTCTACTGAGCCATCTCCCCGGTCCCCCTGCTTGCTTTCTTTCCATATTTTCTAATTTTTTACCAAAGGAATCAGTCACATCTTATAATGTCTCCCTTAATTCCATTAGTCTTGGGTCTACAGGGTCTCACTACATAGAACAGACTCATAGTGATTCTCCTGTTTTCAGCCCACCAAGTGCTGGGATTACAGGTGTGCGCCACCATGCCCAATCTCAATCGCCACACTCACCCCAGGGGCGGGGCCAGCACAGCACGCCGGGAATTGAACCCTGGCGGCTGCACTCTGCCTAAGTAAGTGTTTAGTCCACTGAGTTATGTGGCCGGCCCTTAATTCAATTAGTTTTATCATTCGTTTCTTTATGCTTGTGGAGCATTTCATTAGCAAAATCCTTTATCTGTTTAATTAAACCTTCTTTGAGTTCATTAAACATCTTACGTATTTGTTTGTTTTTCCTTTTAACTCTTCAAATATTTTTGCCATTGGTTTTATTCATTTAGGTTTTTTGTTTATTTGTTTTTGTTTTTGTGGTATTGGGTATTGAACTCAGGACCTTGTCATTTAGTTTTTGTCTTTTTTATTTTATCGTGTGTGTGTGTGTGTGTGTGTGTGTGTGTGTGTGTGGAACCGAGGATTGAACTCAGGCCCTTGCGCTTGCCAGGGAAACGCTTATTCTACTGAGTCATCTCCCTGGCCCCATTTTATCGTATTTTAAAAATATTTTATTTGTTTGTTTGGTACAGGGACTTGCTAAGCAGCTCGGACTAG